CCAAGGCCATGGGCAGGGAGGAAGGAGCTGGTCTGTAGGGCTAGGGCAGCCCCTCACTATGGGCCGGGCTGCAGGCACACGCCCACTGCTCCCTGTGCAGGGCACTCTGGGTGGGCAGGCTCCTCTCCTGGTGCCCCGGCCTGCAGCTCCCGGTGCTTGTGGGCAAGGCGGGGTCGCAGGACACTCCTGGGAACGATGTCTGGACAGGGTGTGTGGAGGGGCTGGGCTCCACATGGAGCAGGGGAAGCCAGGGCTTCACCAGGCCTCAGCCTGTCGTCACTGGGAGCTTCTGGCAGATCCTCCATGTTTGTCCGGCTCAGGTTCCCTTTCGTTGGCCCCGACACTGCCCTGAGCCCTGAGTCGGGGTGACAGCTGTGCCGGGGGTGGCAGGAGCCTGGCAGGGCCACGGCTGTTGCGGTGGAGCTAGAAACTCACTGAGAGTGGGTGGGGGTGCTGGGGGGATGTGGAGAATGGCAGGGTTCCTGGAGGAGCACGGGCCGCATGAAGGGGAGGAGGGAGAGTGGACCAGTGGGGGAGGGGCTCTGCTGCTGCTGTTGGACTGTGACAGGCAGGCTCGGGGTCACAGCCAGCATGTGGGGTCCTGGCAAGAACAGCAGGAAAATGTGGGGTCCTGGCAAGAACAGCAGGAAAGTAGGACCAGATTGGAGCCCCAAGGACCCCGAGATGTGGAGGCTACGTGCTGGGCTTGCAGCACCCAGGGAGGACCCGGCGCGGGAGCGCAGAGGGAAAGGTGTTTCCTTCCGTCCTCAGCCCCACAATACACAGAAGCTCCCAGGGCCCTGCAAGCAGGGATGGCCCTGCCCCTCCAGGCCCATCCTCGGTGGCCAGAGAGGCTGCCAGGAGGACAGACTGCGCCCGGTGGCCACTCAATGCAGCCCCCACCTGGGGCTCACGGGGATCCTAATCCAGGCCAGGCGCTGCCACCACCTGTTCCGGCCCCGCCCCTGCCAGGTCCCGCCCATCAGGCCCGCCTCTCCTGGCCCCGCCCCGGCCCCGCCTCCCCCAGGCCCCGCCCCACCGCTGCACCTTTGCGCGGAGCCCCCTGGTAGGGATCCCCCTCTACTCCCCAAACCCTTCCCCTCAGCCCAGCTCTGAGTGAGACCCCTCTGAGGATGTCCCCTCCCCTGAAACTACCAATATGGCGGAGCACAGACAGCTGAACGGCCAAGTGCACGACTCCTCCACCCAGGCCCCCCTGCTCCCCCTCTTCCCTGGGGACCCCTCTTCCTCTTTCTGCCCCTGGGACACGCGGGCCTCTGCCTGCCGCCTCACACAGGACCTGAGTTCCATCCTGGCCTCTGGCCTTCGCTCCTTCCCTCCCCTTGGGGCATCCACACCCACAGGAGGATCCTGCTGGCCCCTGGAGTTCTCCCAACTCAGCTGTCCACGGGGTGCCCCCCACACCCTGCCCGTACTCCCCACAACTCCCAGACCCCGGATTCTCCCTCCTAGATCTTTCTGCAGCCCTTCCCTTCTCACTGGGGCTGCCATCATGCCTTCCAGGCTACCCACTCAGGTGTCCCCTCCAAGGGTATACCCGTGAGCCCCTCCTTTGCAGAGGAACCCAGACCCTGACAGGGGGTTCCCAGCAATCAGGTCTTTCCTCTCCCACCCTGTGTGTCCTTCCAGGTCAGCGTGCCTGACCTGCCACAGCACCTCCAAAGGGCAAAGGTACCCGGCCCCAGGTTTGCTGGGGGCACAAGGGGGGTCCCAGAGCAGCGTTGACCCATGTGGAGAGTTCACTGGACCCCTTGCTCAAAAGCTCTTGAATGATGGGCTTCATCACTCGCACCCCCAGGTCACAGTTTCTAACCATTGTTCCCCTCCCACTCCTGGCCTTACAAGACATGGGGAAGGGGAGGGACAGAGAAAGGAGACCTATGAGCTCAGAGCCCAGGGAGCCTAGGCTGGCAGTGTGTGTGTGTGTGGGGGGGGTACCCATGCTGGCCCACACTGTCACTGTGACTAGGGTGCACTGTGTTGGGGGGGGGGGATTTGGGCATGGCATTGGGAGCAGGCTCTCCCAGCCATGGTGAGGCCTCCAGAAGGCTCTGCGCCACCCTGGGGAAGGCCGGTGCTGCCTCATGGCCCAGGGAGCTCTGACACTGGCTGGCCCCAGGAGGCGGCCAGGCATGCAGATGCGACCAGCTTCAGGAGCTGTGGCCCCTGGCTCCCTCTGAGAAAGATCCCTAGCACCCTAGTTGTGTGGGATGCTCTGTCACGCCTGAGTTCCTAAGGAGCCCTGCAAGTGCGTCTCTGCTCAGGAACCTGTTGTGGGCACTCTCTGCTCCTGTCCAGAAGGAACTCCATGGCGTGCGTCTAAAGTCTGGGGACACGAGGCTGCAGGGCTCCAGGCCCTGATATCGTGCAGCTACAGACAATTCCCTTTGCTCTGCAGAAAGAGGCTAATAGGGACCCTGTACTTCAGGGGCTGCTGGGCACAGAACGAGTCACCCATGTAAGCACCAGCCCAGAACCAGGGGCAGGAGAGTGCGGGAATGGGACAGGGCTTCCTGGAGGAGGTGGCCTTGCCATCTGAGCTCCCATTCTGCACTGCAGGCTCAGATGCAGCCTGGGCAGGACCTGCCATCTCTGCGTCCCTGCAGGAACAGGGACAGCAAGGGGAGCCAATCTTGCAGGGGCTGGGCTGGCTGTAACCAGAGCCTCTGGAGTCACTGCCCCCCACAGCGTCCAAGAGGCGGATGGAGAGGAGAGGAGTCTGTCCTCAGGGCCTTGGCCAGCACTTGCTTCCTTCCCATCCAGGCTGCTCATTAACTGCTCTGGGGCCTCTTAGAGGCACTTAATCTCCAGCCTTAGCAGTCTGGTCCGGGGAATGGGGATAACTGCTGGGCAGCAACCCCCGCCCCCGGGATGCTCTGAGGAGCCAGAAACGGGTGTGAAGGCAGGGAGGGGCCTGGATAGCCTGTAGCCAGGCAGGAGGGGCAGGGGAGAGGCTTCCTAGGCACTCCTGATCCTGCCATCTGCCAGGCCAAGTCCCTGCCAACCTCCACCCCAACCTTAATGAGGCCGGGCACCCCCGCCCCCGGGCTTTGGCCCTGGCTGCTGGTGCCCCTCCCTGGAGCCCTGCGGCCCTGGGAGCCCCCGCTCTCCTCACCCCGGCCCAGCCTGCACCTCTCTGCCAGACACAGGATTCTGTGCCCACGACGTGTGCCTACACCAGGGGAGGTCTGATTCATCTCTGTTCCCCCCGCAGCATCCAGAAGGGCTCCCTGCACAGAGATGGTGTTGGCTAAGTACTAGTGCTGCAGACCGAGCCTCAGTGTCCTCACCCGGGAAATGGGGGTGCTGTGTTCAACCCTGCCCTGGGAGGAGCCAGAGAAGGGCCTGGGATGCCCCCTCCCCAAGCAGGCCCCCTCTGCAGGAAATGGGCCTCCTGCATCCTGGGTGCCACTAGCTCCGGGCCCTCGTCCCAGAGATCCTGAGACCTGACTGTGTCCCAGCTCCAATCTGCTGTGCAGCCTTCGGCCAGGCCCCCAACCTCCCTGGGCCTCATGCTGCCTGCCTCTGAAGTGGGGATGCAGACGCTGGCCCTGCCTCCCCACAAGCGGCCGCTGGAACCGACAGGAGTGTGGGCTCAGTGGGCCAGGGCCAGGCAGGGGTCACCGAGCCACCTGGCACAGTGTCTGGGTCCCGTCTTCCCTCTCTCCTCCAGTCTTACCTGCAGGCCCACGGTACCAGCTACTGAGAGCAGGAGAGAGTTGGGGGGGGGCGGGGAGCATAGGCTCCGGGCGCCTGGGTGAGGGTTCCGAGGGGGGAACCCAGCCATCCCCCCCCCTTCCCGGGGCTGCAGGCGACTCGGCAGGTGCAGCCCAGCGGAGCCCGTGCTGGACGCGAGCGGCAGAAGCAAAGCCCCTCCCGGCGGCACGCGGGGTCCCCCGGCGCGCGCCCCTACCTCTGGCCCACGTCGCTGCCCACGGAGCCCCCACCGCGGGCCGGCAGCAGCGGGCTGAGCCCGTGCGGCTCCTCCGGTGCCGAGGCGCCGGCCGAGGCGCCCCCCGGGCACGCCTTGCCCTCGGACGGCGAGCGCGGCAGCTTGGCCCGCGCCATCCTGCGGGAGCACACGGGCGGGAGGCGGCAGGGGCGGTGCTCCCATCTCCGCGCCCCGCCCCGCGCTCCCCGCGCCGCCGCCGCAGTGGATCGGCCCGGCCGGGCGGGGGGCACCCCCGAGAGGCAGGGGACGGCAGGATGCGCGGGCCCCTTCCTTTCCCCGCGCGGAGGAGCCCCGGCGGGAGGGGTCTCGGCGCCCAGCGGCCAGGGCCGCCTTGTAACGGAAGTAGTAGTAAGAATCACGACAGTCACGGCGGCGCTGGGGGAGGGGAGCAGTAGTGGCGCGGTGACAGCTGGTGGCTCTCGGCCACTCACCTCCGCAGGCAGGAGCCGCTGGAGCCCACGAGCGTTGGTGCTCCGCTGCCCTGTGCCCAAGTCCCAGGCGGCCTGCAGGTCCTGGGGAGCCAGGTGTGGCTCCGGATGGCCTGCCCAGAGCGGTGCCCACCTTCCAGGCCCTACCCCTGGTGCCTGCTCAGGTTGGGTGGGTCCACCCCAGCCAGGTGGGAAATGTGCAGTCTGTCTGTCCATCCCTCCCATCCCCTACCCTCCCAGGGCTATGGGGGAGTCCATGGGGGCACTCATCAAGTGGTGCCCATATGCTCGGCTCGGCTCCGTGCCAGGCACAAGAGCCCTGCTTTGGACAAAGCAGCTGCTTCGTGGAGCCCCATGTGCACCCGATGCCCCGCTGGGGACGGCTCTGGTCACCTCAGTGAACTGGAACGGCCCGAGGAGACAAGGCTGATGTCAGTTTTGCAAAGTGGGGCGATGAGGCACTGAGGTAGGAGGTGGCTTCCCCAGGAGATGGAGGCAGGGAGAAATGGAGCCAGGAGCCGGCAGGTGAGGTGGCTCAGCTGGGTAACAGCAGGCAGGTGTGGGTGCTGGGGGTGCTGAGGCTCCGGCTGGAGCCTGCCGGGTGCAGGAGGGGCTGAGACGCCCGGCTGTCCTCCACAGTGGTCAAGCGGCTCCAGCTTGTCTGGCTTACGGATGGTCTGTGGGAGGAAGGTGGGCCTCAGAACCCCCAGCTCCTGCCTGGCCCCTCCCCAGACATGGAGAGGCAGGAAGGTCCGGTGCAGAGCCATTCGGTGGTCTCAGCAAACCCCCAGCATCTCCCTGGACTGCGTTCCCTGTCAGGAATCTGCCCTCAAGGAACGAGGTGTTTATGTGGGCAAAGCCCCCTGCCTGGCCCTGGGGGGAGGGGGCGAGGAGATGGCCGCCCCTTGTCCCCCTTCCTGCGGAGCGACACGTCAGTAACGGAGCAGGGCCCGATGGCAGGGACGCTCGCCTGGCCACCCCAGGAGGGGCAGGGAAGCCGAAGGGCTCCCTGGGATGCGTTTTCACCTGCAGACAGGACACGAGCTCGCAGTCCCTGGGCAACGCCGGCCAATGCGTCCCGTCCACGGCAGGGAAGCCCACACATCTGGCCCATCCACTGCGGCTGCCGTGTGTTCTCCTGTTTCTGGATTTTGGGAGAGCCTTCAGTCCTCATGTGGCGATGGCTTCTGAGGTCCAGGATAAGAGGTGACGAGGGAAGGTTTTTCCAGCGTTCGGTATGACATGACCACCAGGCAACTGTCGGCGCCGTTCCGTATGCGGTGGGTGGCAGAGGCCCTTCCAGCTGGCCACTGCAGCACTTACATAAGGTTTGGTTTATTTCGAAAATGATCATCCAGTTTAGTATACGGTCCCTGGTCCCTGTGTGTGGAGGAGAGACCGCCCCCCCACAGCCACAGGGCAGTGGCCCGAGACGCCGCCTTCCCTGGCCGTGGCACACCGCGAGGAGTGTCCCAAACTGCCTGCTCCCACTGGGGCCGGACAAGCTCGAGCCCCATGGCCGCGGCGGGAGGGGCGGATGAAAACAGCAGGCTCGCTTTTCTCAAGCGCGGCCAACGCTGCTTCACCCCTACCGCCCCTACCAAGAGCAGCCCTGCGGAGGGGGTGGTCACTTTGCATCTTCTGTGCCAAGAGGGCCTGGGCCGGGCAGAGGGGGAGAGGCCGGGTGGAAGTAGCCAGGCTTCTGGAGGACTGGATGGCGGGGGAATCCATCAGGGCTGAGGAAATGGGGCGGACAGGAGGAGCAGGCGCGGTGGGCTCCAGATCCGTTCTGGGCACTCTTCAAGGGCCTGCCGGACGCCGTCTCGTGGGGGACGGGGCGGCTGGGCTGGAGAGGGAGCTGGGAGCAGGTGAGGCCTGCAGGTGGGATGTCTGCCGGTGTGAGGACAGGGGGGAGGGCTGGCCCAGGAGCCCCCCGAACCCAGGGAGACGCAGAGGCTTCGTGAAAGGTAGTGCCGAATGACCAAAGCAGCAGGCAGAGCGCAGGCCAGGGGACCCCCAGACAGGCACCTCCCTCCACCCTCTGAAGCCAAACCTGAGGATCCAGAGGACCCTGTGTGCACCCGCGGGGACCTGGGGATCCTCACCCACAGCCCCACGTCAGAAGAGGTGAACTGGAGCTGTCCCGACGGCGGTCACTGTCGCCTGGTTGGGGCGGTGCCTGGGCTGCAGCCTGGGGCCAGCGAGCCCACGGAAAGACGCGCAACACTGCCAGTCACCAGGAAGTGCGAGTCAAAACGACAACGAGATACCACCTCGCACTCGCCGGGATGGCTGCTATCGACACACAGAAAATAAAGGTGCTGGCACAGACGTGGAGAAATGGGAACCCTGGGCTCTGTTGCTGGGAATGCGAGATGCTGCAGCCACGGTGGCCCATCCACACCACGGACTACCCCCCAGCCTTTCAAAGCAAGGAATCCTGACACCTGCTACTACGTGGATGAAGCTGGAGGACATGGTGCCCAGTGAGGCCGGCCCGGCACACAGGGACCAATTCTGTATGAATGGAAACGCCCAGGAGGCCAGAGGAGTCGGACCCACAGACCCGGGGGGCGGGCTGGGGCTGCGGCTGAGGGAGGGGACAGTGTTTCACAGGGACAGTTTAGTTTGGGAAGATGAATGCATTCTGGGGATGGCTGCACAACGTGAATGTGCAGATGTCCTGAACTGTGCCCTTAAAAACAGTTAAGATGGTAAATTCTGCGTTATCTGTATCATCCACAATAGAGAGAAGTCGGGGAGCACGATACAGATCCCAGCTGGAAGAGCTCTCGCTGGACCTGGCAGGGACAGCAGAGCACCAGGACGGGCAATGATTAAATCACGGTGGAGAAGTTTCCTGCCGCTGCTGTGACAGATCACCCCAAATTTAGTGCCTCAGAAAAACGCAAATTTACCATCTCATAATCCTGGGGCCCAGAGTCCCAAAATCCAAGTATGGGCAGGGCTGGTTCCTTCTGGAGGCTCCGGGGGAGTCCCCCACCTCCGCCAGTTTCTCGGGGTCCCGTCCTCACGCTGCTCTGACCTCGGCTTCAGTCCCTCCCCCTCCCTTCTCCGAGGACCCTATGACACCATGGGGCCACTGCGACGATCCAGGAGCCCCCGTCAAGAGCCTGCACCTCATCACGTCCGCGAAGTCCCTCTTACCAGCAGAGGTGACGCACCCCAGGTACCGGGGACTGGGGTGTGGGCGTGCTGGGGGACACTGCTGAATCTCTGTGACTCCACAGCTGAATACCTCGTACCCACAAGGAGGCTCAGAGAAGCAGCCCCGCGGGGGTCAGGGCTGAGGCTGCCAGGACACGTGCCTTGCTCCCGAAACTGGTGATTAGAGAGAGAGGACGGCGCGCGTTTTCCTGCGTTTTCAGCAGCAGTTACGTGACAGGGTGTGCGCCCGGCTCCCCTCCACGGGGAGAAGCAGCCCTTGCAGAAGAGCGTGGCTAACCGAGATGCAGACAAGGCAGGTGGCAGGGTCCCACGAGGATGCTCCTGGGGCCACAGTCCTTAGACGCACGCGGGGTCCACACGGGGCACCGGAGCAGGGCTGCGCGGCCGGCCCTAACCCAGCTATGGCAGTGGAGGGACAACCAGCCCACAAGGCCACATGGTGACCACAGTGTCACCTAAAAAGTTCTCTCACCCAAGTTCTTCGTGTTCGGTCCACGGGGCCTTCGGACCCAAGAGCCAGCGTGTGAGGAAATTAGAGGCAGAGGGACGGGCTGAGGCGCCCTGGAAGGAGCAGCTGGACGCACGTGGACAACGGGACTCCCGTAGGAGAGGCCTCACGTATCAGCTGCCTTTGCTGCATAACAAGCCGCCACTGACTTCGCTGCTGCAGGCAACGCCTCACCCCACACGGTGCTGTGAGTGCAAGTCCGAGCGCAGCCTGGCTCCGTCTGTCCCCGGGGGGCTCACGAGGCTGCGGCTGCGTCAGTGGGGCTGGGCTCTCGCCTGCAGCTCATCCAGACCCCCGCGGTGGTGGGCCGGGCCCTGTTCCTGCTGGCTGCCATCTACTCTGTTCCTAAGGGCTGCCTCGCTGCTCGGCTTGCGGCCCCCCGTCTGTAACACCAGGCAGGGTGTGCCAGAGGCCCCAGGCCCCAAACCTCCTCCTCCTCGGCGTCCTGCCAGAGAAAATGTCCTGCTTTCAAAGGGCTCGTGCGCAAGACGGGGCCCACCCAGAGACTCTCCTTCTGATTGACTCAGAGGTCGTGGATGTAGTCTCCTTAATTATAAGGCAGAATCCCTCTGCCGAGCAAGGAAGCAGCGCTGATAGGGCAGCTCGAACGAGGGGAACATGGGTCTCCCATCCCGGAGGCTGGACATCCCAGGCTGCGGGGGCTGGTGGGGCTGGATCTCCTTGCCTGGCCGGGGGACGTCCTCTCTGCCTGCCTCCAAATTCCACTTTATAAAAGGGCGCCAGTCATGTGGGAGCAGGGGCCCCCTTGATGACCTCATGACCTGTCATGACCCCACTTCCACACAAGGCCACCTTCTGAGGCACTGGGGGGTTGGAACCCCAACACGTGATTTTCGGAGAGACCAAGTTCAGCTGCCAACCCCGGGTCATGTGTCGTAAACCCAGGTGTGACGTCTTGTCATATTCACGGTCCTGGGCAGCCGTGGGGAACTTGGGGGGCCACACCAGGTGGGAACCATTCTGGATCACGAAGAGTCCATGGATCCGGGACACAGTGCTCCTGGTCTGAGCAAAGCAGCTACAAGGGGCGAACTCTCCCGTGGCCAGGCTGCTGTGGCTCCCCTCCCCAGACCACACTGGCCCCTCACTCCCCTCCATGCCCTCCGGAAATCCCTGGGCACCACCAGGGGCCCCCCAGCATGCAGCGTGAGTCTCGGGGAGGCCCCGTAAATGCCACTGGGAATGTGCTTCCAGGTGACAGTCGCTTCCCAGGGTGGGGCTGGCCTGGGTGCCTGGGCTGCTTGACAGCGGGCACACCCCAGACAGAAACAGGGTGATTTCTCCCGATGGACACTGTCCCCCACTAATTCTGTGCATTCCAGTGTCCCATGGCGGCCGTAACGGGGACCGTTCCCTCCAGTTCTGAGCCCCGAAGCCCATGGTCAGTACCGCTGGGCTGAAACCCAGGTACCGCGGGGCTGTGCCCCCTGGAGGCTCCAGTGTCCCTTGGCTTGTGGCCACATCCCTCTGACCCCGGCCTCTGTCCTCACACGAGCTCCTCTGTGTAAAATCTCTCCGTCTCTCTCTTTTTTCATTTTGTGGAAAAACATACATGATGAAATTTACCACTTCAACATTCTTTGCCTCCTTCTTAGGAGGACACCTGTCACAGCACTTAGGGCCACCAGGGTACGCTCCCCATCTTAAAATCCTTACTTTGGTCCCATCTGCAAAGTCTCTGCCATCCAAGGCCACGTTCACAGGGCCCAGGGATTAGGAAGTGGACATCTTTGGAGGACTATCGTTCAGCCCATCTGAGAGGGGTCCTGGGCCCTGCCTGCCTGTCTTCCTGGGGCAGCTCCCACAGCCTGCCTGTGTGCCCCACTCCCACCCAGAGGGTCCGGAGGGATGTGACAGGGCTGGCACGCGGGGGTGCCGACACTGTGGGGGCCACTGCCCGGCCGTGGGGCCACATCTCCCCTCACGGGCATCATAGCCACTGCCAGGCTCGGCTAGAATCCTTGGCCACGCTCCCCTCCAGAAGGGGACACAGGGCTGGGGTCTTCTCCCTGCTCCTGGGCCCTGGTTAATTGCTCTGGAAGGGGCCCCAGGAACCAAGGACAGACTGGCCAGAGAGGCAGACACACAGAGACAATCGGCTGCTAGTTAGCTGGGTGGGGCAGGGGCAGGGCATGCCTCTCCAGGGCCTGGGACTCTCCAGGGGCTGGATGAGGGAGCTTTCCACAGGTGACCTCACCTCAGCTTCTCCGGCCCCCTGAGGGAGGCCGAGGAGCCCAGTGAGGCTGGACTAGGGGTAGGGAGGAGGGAAGGAGCCAGCATGTGGGCCCCCAGGGGGTGAGGGTGCAGCCAGCTCAGCTCCCAGAAGGGACTCCCACCCCTAGAAAAGGCAGAGACACAGTGGGGGTTGGCCAGGGCCTTGCCAGGTTGGGGGGGCTGCCCCTGCCCAGCAGACAGCTGTGGGGAGGAGCTGGGGGCGTCTCCTTCTGTCCTCTCAGACTCCCCCTACACACCTGCACCAGGCCCCAGCCCCCTGCCCAGTGCAAACACCTTCTGCCTGCGCCCTGCTGCCCCATGGGAGCGGTGTTCCCTGCCTGCAGAGCAGCCTCCTTCCTGGGCTCTCATGGGGGTCAAGGTCACGAAGGATGCAGGGCCCCCACAGCTCAGTCGGTTGAGCGTCTGCCTTCGGCTCAGGTCACGATCCTGGAGTCCCGGGATCGAGTCCCGCATCGGGCTCCCTGCTCAGGGGGAGTCTGCTTCTCCCTCGGACCCTCCCCCGTCTCATGCTCTCTCTCATTCTCTCTCTCAAATAAATAAATAAATAAATCTTAAAAAAAAAAAAAAAGGGATGTGAAGTCAAAGCAGCTTAATCCCTGCCACTGCCTTCGTAGTGTTTAACTCACTGCCCTAAGCCTGCCATGGGCTGAATACATGTGTGTCCCCCCAGCTTCCTATGCTGAAGCTCTAGCCCCCAGTGTGATGCTGTTGGGAGGACCCTGGGGGTGACTGGGGTTAGCTAAGGTCACAGAGCTCCCTCTGTCTATCCATCACATGAAGACACCATGAGAAGGTGGCTGTAAACTGGAACGGGGGCCGTCAGCAGGACCCCACTCTGCTGGCATCCTGACTTCAGACCTCCAGCCGCCAGAATGCTGAGAGATCAGGGTCTGTTAACTTAAGCTGCCTGGTCTACGGTGTTTTGTTACGCAGCCTGAGCTGACTGTGGCACGGCCTGAACGCTACCGCCTCCCCGCTTCGTTCCGGATGGGTGTGAGGCGGGATGGTCCACCCATGATACAGTTAACAGCACTAAGCGGTACGTCATGGGAAGCGCATCAGGCACCAAAGGGAATTACGATTTGGAAACCAAAACTGATCACGGTTTTCGTGATCCTGGAGGATCCTGGCTGCCCCCTTGCTGGGGGTCCGTGCCGTACTCTGCACTAATTCAGGAGAAACTGAATTCTGAGTCAGGCACACACGTCTCTAGATGCAGGCTTAGACGCCAAGGTGCACGCTGCCCTGCAGAGCCCAGGGCCAGGATGGGGAGCACGGCTCCCGGGGGACACCCAGTTCCCCATCTTGGGGACTCCCAGACACCTCCGGGCAAGGGCAGGGGGGCCAGGAGTGCCGGCACATGGACTGAGGCCCCCCCCACCGGCTCCCAGAAGATGGAGCGGTGTGCCCAGTCTACAAATACACACGCAGGGCCCAGGGCCCCGCTGACCCACCTTGGCACATGCATGCCTGCACCCCTCCACCTCTACCTGCTTCTCTTGTCCCTCTGTTGTCCCTTTACTCTCCACCTGCCTGCTGCAAACCTTCCTGGGCTGGGGGGCCCCAGTCCCCAGAACCCCCACTTGGAGGAAGGCACCACCTAGCCCCCAGGAGCTCAGCTTCCACAGGGGTCACCTGCCCTTCTCTCTACCCACCCTGGCCACCTCTCAGGCCCTTGTTCCCTGTGGGGGACCTCAGGTGACACGGGGAACAGAATCAGATAGCCCAGGCCTGCTCACAGTGCAGTGAGGGAGACGCAGGCGATGAGCCCTGGACCCCAAAGGTGACTGGAAAAATCACAAATTTTACTCCCTTAAAGCTCCCTGCAGCTCCTGGAATTTGCCAGAACCTGGCACCAACCCCAGGCTTTTCCTTGATTCGATCACATAGGCAGCGCAGAAGCTAGTCCCAGACAGATCCCCGGGAGAAGCAGCCTCGTGGCGTCCAGCATCAGCTCCTGGGGCCCACACGCCAGCACCCTGGCCACGCTCTGACGGCATAAAGCCAGAAACCGCCCAGACCGTGCGTGGGGGCAGAAGGGCCTCAGGGTTCAGACGGGATAGAGCTGCAGCAAGCACAGGGATTTTGGGTCTGAGCCAGGGAAGGAGGGAGGCAGACTGGGAGTCCATCAAAGAGGCCAGTGTGTCAGCAGGCTGGTGCCCAGGGGGCAGAAACAGCTGCCCCAGGGGGTGACGGAATATGCAGGTGTGGCTGCTCTGGATGAACAGGGTCTCTAGGGGCAGATGAAGGCTTTGGCTTTAACCCCATGCCCCGCCCCTGCCCGGACCAATCCTATTGTGCAGGAGGTGAAGGTGGCAAGAGACCCTCAACCTGGCCTGGGCCCCCACCAGCCTGGGCCCTGGCTATTTCCCCGGCTAGCTGTGTCCTCCGAGGCCTGTGGGTTTGCAATGGACACAGGCCACTAGCCAGGGCAGGGCAGGGAGAAGGTGCTGGGGCAGAGCTGGGGTCCCACCTTGTCCCACCCTGACTACTGGGGCCACCGGCCCAGCCCCACCCATGAGTCAAGGCACAGAGCAGAAGGCCGGCCCCAGGAGGCCTGCGTCCAGCCGCCCCACGCAGGGAGGACCCAGGTGAAGCAGTGAGCTCCTCTGGTGCCAAGCCAACCGCTCGTTGAGCCTGGCAGGCGCAGGTGGGGGCACGTCCACGGTCCATGGTCACCCTCTACCGTGACAGGGCCCTCTATGCTCATCAGTCCGCAGGGAACCCCCACGTGCAAGACTCGGGCCAGACTGTTGTCCCCATGGCTTCCCTCACAGCCTCCGATCTTCCCTGAACACCCCTCCAAAGGAGAGATCCCCGCCGGCACTTGCCCTCTGGGGCTCTCGGGAGGGTCCTGGGTCTTGTGCCAGTGAGCAAGGATAGCATCCCCCTCTGAACCCTGCACATCTACAGGAGGCCCTCGTCCCACATCTGCTGGAGCCCTGGGTGGAGGAAGAGAGGGGAAGGGCAGGCTGTCGGGGTCTAACCCTGCCACACCGAGCTACGTCTGAGCTTGGTGGCATCTCTGGTGAGGCTTGGTAACACCCACCTATTAACAGTTACAGCTGAGTGGCCCTGAGGGCAGCACTGTTCCCGAGACCCCCTACTGCTGGGGGGCCTGATCCCCTTCTGCTCAGTGGAGGGAGGGGGGCCATAGGGAGGGGCATGCCTCCTGCAGAGACCCCAGCCCTGCTCGCTCCTCCCTGCACCCAGTCCGGGTTTGAGGGTCCCCAGTGGACCGAGAGCTGAGGAGTCCTTGCCCCAGGGGCCACGGCTGTCAGTCACCCCCCTGCTGGGCTGGCAGGGGTCTGTGCTCGAGGCCCTGCCCCACCATGCCCCCGCAGCGCAGGACTGCCTATCTTCCCGCTTCCCAGCTTGTTGTGTGAAATAATATTTGGCATATTGCTCAATGCCACAGAAACAAGTCAGGCTCCGTGCTCTTGTCAGAGGAGTGAAGGCAAACAGCCAAATGGGGTCCTTCTGGGTGTCTTTCTGACCCCGGAGGCCTGGCCTCTGCGTTCTTCTTGCAGCAGGCCGGTGCTCCCCCGCCAAACCCCAGAGTCCCCGAGAGCCTTGACCCCTGGATGCTTCTAAGGGTCCACCCACCCTCCGCTCAGATGCCTGGGGAGAGGGGAGGGCGCCGGCCCTGACACCGTCTCCAACTGTCCGTCCCCCTGTTGCCCCGCTGGGCTGGCTCCTGGCGTGGCAGGCAGCTGTGGGAGGCAGGTGGTCCGGGGCGTGCAGGCCAGGGGGTGGCCACATTCCAGGTCCTTTGTCCTCACCTGAGGCTCTCCCCACCCCAGCCTTTCCCACAATTCTGCTCCTTGCAGGGGACAAGGCGGTGGTGTCCTCGTGTCCCCCTGTACCTCAGGGCACAGAGCCCACCTGCATCTTCCTGAGCCTGGGGGTGCGCGGGGCTGAAAGCCTCCCATCTGTGTTACAGGAGAAGGTGGAGAAAGACTTAGGATGACAAAAGCCCCCACCTGTGTCGATGTCTCATCACAGTGCCAGTTTGCGGGGTGACTGGAGCTGTCAGCAGCCCTTCCAGGAGGAGGGTTCACGGCTGGAGGGGCCCTGCAGCCTCCAGCTGTGAAGCAGACCCTCAGACCCCTAAGTCTGTCCCCCCAGGACCATGGTGCCACGTGCTCAGGTGCCCAGGTGCACAGGACAGTCAGCTGTGGAGGTGGGGGGAGGGGGGCAGGGCCTCCTTGAGCCGCTCCTGGGCTCCTGGGCTCCTGGGCTCCTGGGCTCCTGGGCTCCTGTGCACAGGGCCAGGGAGCTGCCCTGAGGTGGGGCAGGGAGTCCTGAGCCCCAGGCCTTGCACGGCCCAGGTGCACTTCTGCGGAGAGCCCTGCTCCCTGGGACCCCAAGGCCTGGCCCCAACGGGCAGTGGTGAAGGTCGCCCCGAGACCTCAGCTGCCCCTGGAAGGTCTGTGAGCTCTGGCTCTGCCCTTCTCTCCGGCCCGGCCCCCCCAGGAGGGGCCGAAGCAGCCTCCTTGGCCCACGTGGGCCGAGTCCCTCCCACCCTCCAAGGCCACAGCG